TCACAACACTGTAACCATACACTTCTCTCACTCTCTCTCTCTCTCTCTCTCTCTCTCTCTCTCTCTCTCTCTCTTGCTCTCTCTCTCTGTCTCTCATCACAACACTGTAACCATACACTTCTCTCACTCTCTCTCTCTCTCTTTCTCTCTCTTGCTCTCTCTCTCTCTGTCTCTCATCACAACACTGTAACCATACACTTCTCTCACTCTCTCTCTCTCTCTTTCTCTCTCTTGCTCTCTCTCTCTCTGTCTCTCATCACAACACTGTAACCATACACTTCTCTCACTCTCACTCTCTCTCTCTCTCTCTTCCATCAGATCGTTGCGACCGGCATCTGCCACACGGACGCGCACACGCTGGGAGGTCACGACTCCGAGGGAAAGTTCCCCGTTGTTCTCGGACACGAGGGAGCCGGGATCGTCGAGAGCGTCGGGGAAGGAGTCGCCAACGTGAAGCCTGGTGAGCGGGATCGCTCGCTCCCGGAAGTTCTCCTCCTGTTCTCCTTCCCTCTCTTCCTCTCTGTGTCTCCGCTCTCTTGCTCTGTCTCTGTCTCTGTCTCTGTCTGTGTGTGTCTCTCTTTTTCTCTCTTTCTCTTTCTCTGTCTCTCTCACTCTCCCCCTCCCTCTCTCTTTCTCTTTCTCTTTCTCTCTCTCTCTCTCTCTCTCTCCTGCATTCTCCTCCCCTCTCCTCCAATCTCCTGCTCTCCTCCCCTCTCCTCCCCTCTCCTCCCCTCTCCTCCCCTCTCCTCCTCTCTCCTATTATAGTAAATAATAACAACATCAATAATAATAACAACCAAGAAAATGCAATCGAGAATCTTGGCTATGTCTTAGCAGTGTTCGAAATAAGGGCTATCCGTTTGTCCTCACTTGTCCATTTCCACGGAGGACAAGTAAACCTGTCCAGTAGCTTGTCCGCTGGACAAGCAGCTTTTTAGAGCAATTTTTCATCATTTTCTACCATCGCTGGCCGCCGCCATTTTTGCAGTTCGTTTTGTATTTTCGGTTCGTCTTCTAGATACAACTTTTAGATAATACTGTTAGTGAACTGTGTTAAAATTACAAAGTAAGATATTGGGTCTAAAATTTGATTTTATTAAATGTATTACACATTTACTATATTTCTATGTTATTAATCAGGACAAGGTAACATTTTGCAGGACAAGCAAAAATATCTTGCAGCTTGTCCGTCGGACAAGCAAATTTTTTTCCCTTATTTCGAACACTGCTTAGTGCTTAGCGTCTTGTCGTTTGTTGTGCTTCGCAGGCGACCACGTGATTCCGCTGTACATACCACAATGCTACGAGTGTGAGTACTGCAAAAACCCGAAAACCAACCTCTGCCAGAAGATCAGGTTCGTGCAAAACATCTGAACATCCGAGCGACGACGTCGCGCGACTTTTGTATGCGCGCGTCGTCAAAAATTTACCTCGCAGCTATCGTCTGTCAGTGTCGTAATAATATTTTATCTAAGTTTTTGTCCATTTCTTATTTTCGTTTAGGGTGAGTCATTGTGCTTGCTATCTTTTTCTATCACGATCTCTTTCTCTTTCTCCCTCTTTCTCTCCGTCCCTCCTTCTTTCTCTCCTCCGCCTTTCTCCCCTCTCGCTCTTTCTCACTCCCTCACTCTCTCTATCTCCCCCTTCTCTCTCCCTCTCTCCCCCTCTCTCTCTCCCCTTCTCTCCGCCTCGCTCTCTCTCTGTCTCTCCCTCACTCTCTCTATCTCCCCCTTCTCTCTCCCTCTCTCCCCCTCTCTCTCTCCCCTTCTCTCCGCCTCGCTCTCTCTCTGTCTCTCCCTCACTCTCTCT